CAGCCCCAGTGTAGCTAAAACGAACAAGCCCATAGTTCAATGTTTAACACTGATAAAGCGAGTAATCTTCGACTACGTTTACACATTATTCTTAAGGTCACTTTGTCTATCATCGATTAACGTTAACTGATGGTCTCAACTTATTAATAGAATTGCTAACACAAAGAATAAAATTTCGTCATTAAAGATAACAAAAATTGGAAATATCTTTCTTTTTTAATGATGATATCTAATTCATATTGGCAATTTTCGCAAAGTTGGAACTTTCTGTTAACCGACGTTCGTAAAAGTGGACCTAATCGAATTTAACACATCCGTAGTTATAAAATTGACCAATCACAGCTATTCGTCTGAAAAATAGAATGATTGTGATTGACCAGTTTCGTAACTACGGATGTTACTAAAGTTAACGTGTAAACGTAGTTTTTTACTGTACTGCTTCTTTGCTGCTATCTGGGCCATTAAGTAAAAAGAAACAGGAGGGAGTATATACTAGCCAGAACTAGGTAAATCCGCGGACGGATGTACGTCATGGCAGCCATCTTGAGCGACCACTTTTTGAAAGTGAGAGGGAATGCTCGAGCATAGCGGCAAGCGGCATACCGTACGCCGTACGCATTAATATGCAGTGTATAGCTTTTTATGCAACAGTGTATGGAAATAAACGATCAAAATGGTATACTGTAGAGCTTGTGGCATAACAGCAACAGCTCGAATCATGGAATAACGTTTCATCGGTTAGTATTATCAACAATAATGAGATTTTTATTTTGGAGATTATAATCATATGTATAGTATTGTGAAATTGTAGATTCACAATAATTACTAAATAATTTTCACTCACAAACAGGTTTCCGAAAAATCCGGATCAAAGAAATGCATGGATAAATTTTTGTAAGGACGAAGGATTTAATATAAATTTAGATTTTAGATTTTAACATTGCTCTTATGGAAATACTGCACGAGTGCAATCCCAATAAAAAACGCCATTAAAATTTTGTATTATTGTTGCATATTATAGTTATTTTCTTTTAATTGTACATTATTTCCTAATTAAACATAACAAGTCATTCAACATTGGCGCCCTTGAGCGGCCATCTTGAGCGACCACTTTATATAGTCACTTCCGTCCGCACTTTTAAGACCAAACGCTCCCTCCTGTTTCTTTTTACTATATGATCTGGGCATCGATCATGTAATTTTTTCCTAGAAGCGGAAACGTGAAAAATGAAAACTTTTATGTTAATTCGACAGTTTTAGGGTGCCGTCACATACAGCCCGTAATCCGCAATCCGCACCAAAAGTCCGCAAAAGTTACTAGGTATTTCGTCCGTAACGTTACGTGTGTTTTTATCTCCTTGTATCCCATGGAGCCGTAAATACAGACGTAACGGTAGTACTATTTTTTATTTAACAGATTATAATTGTTTATTTGTATTTTATTCATAAGAAAACTACAGAATATATTATGATTTTAACAAAAGTTTTAATTAAATTGTCAAATTTAGTTAAATAAATAAAATTAGAAAAAGTATTACTAGTAATAACTAGTAACTTGCAGTAACTTTTACGGAAATTTCATAGAATTACAATTCCATGGGACACAAGGAGATAAAAACACACGTAACGTTACGGACGAAATACCTAGTAATTTTTGCGGACTTTCGGTGCGGATTACGGATTACGGGCTGTATGTGACGGCACCCTTTTTCGTCGAATTCATGTAAAATTTTCAGATCTCACGTTTTTGCTTCTAGGGAAAAATTCCATGATTGATGCTTTGGGGATCGATTGTGTATCATGCATTAGATCTGTTCTTTATAGCTGAAATGGCTGCACTAGTTCAGAGATTATCTTTCTGTTTCCATCGTGGAGAAAAAAAGATAAATAATAGGTCTGTTTTTTATAGCTGAACTGGCTGCACTAGTTCAGAGTTTATCTTTCTCCTTCCAATGTGAAGGGAAAAAGATAAACTCTGAACTAGTACAGCCAGTTCAGCTATAAAGAACAGACCTTCTGAACAAGTGCAGCCAGTTCAGCTATAAAGAACAGACCTAACATAGTGAAAACAATATCCGCAAGAATGCTGAACTGCACAGTCATGTGTGCTTAGCAAACCCAGGGATCTGAGCTCACACACTGCGGTTATACATATACATATGCACTGGCGCATTTACATATTACACACAGATATTTGCACTTTCCCCCACACCCGTCGCGAAACGAACCATATGGTTAACAATATATTTGCATCAATCCAAATAATTTTTTTTATTTAATTAAATAAAATTAATCTATATAATTCACGAATAATAAATTACAACATCAATTATAACGGTACGTTAATCATAATCTTTTCAGAATTTTTAGATTTTTAAATTTAAAAGGTTATTGTTTGTAAATTATTCTTCGCAATAAAGTATTAATTAGCATACATTCTTAATCATTCCAAAACTTCTCAATGAAACAAAAATCAATTTTGTCAGCGTCTAATGTTGCAAAGTACATCATAAAATCGCGTGTAACAACAATCACAATGTTACCAATGATTGCGTTCAGAAAACAAAAAGATTGAGTAAATATATTTTACAGGTACTATGATCAGTGCATCTTAACATGTTTTATGATCAAACGTCATTTTTATGAGCGAATTTGAACTATGCTTAATAACAACAAGTATGAGGCAGTGGTACCAGAAATGAGAGTTGAGCAATATGAAATAAAAAGACCAACGCACAGAGATAATATTAGAAATAAATATTAAATATTATGAAGAGCTATTATTTTACTCCAAACAACGGAACGTAGTTTTGTTTCTTTAAGAAAGGCTTAACTACAAAATATGCGATCCGCACGATAAATCTTAATTGCCCAGATATAATTTGCGATTTTGCGAGATTGAAAATATTAGATATACAGAAAAATAACACAATGCATTACATACTCATACATAAAAATTATTATATATATAAAAAAGAATGGGTATAATAAATCGAATGATAAAATTAACGTAAATATAGAATTCAAATTTAACGTAATTTATTCCCAGACAGCACAACATATCCAAAAGATGTCCAAAGGATATCCCGAAGACGTTTTTGGGACGACAGGACATCCTCTGGATATCCTTTGGATGTATTTTGGACATGTGTGCTGTCTGGGTTGTATGTCTCAAATGTACATGCATATTTGTAGATTCTATTCGATTTCGATCAAAATTTAATGACAAAACAGTAATTAAATTACATTTTAAAAGCATTAACTTTATCTGCTTTTATTAGAAACATAGTTTTCGTATTCTCGTCTAACTCTTTGAAACTTTCCGTTTGTTTCACTTCCGTCATATTTCTCAAGGCGAATGATAAGCAGAATTCTTCCAGCCACTATAAAAAAAGTGTTAATATATAAAATAAATAAAAATAAAAAATTTACATGTAATATATTACTATTAAATGTTAATATTTAAAACATTGTGAACTACTAAAATTACCTGTTGATTATATCCAATCGCTTTGCTATAAAAAAGTGCTACATTAGATATAGTAACCTCCTTTAGAATTTTTGGAAAAAGAGCTGTTTCCAAATCCATCTCATCATACATATCAGCTAATATTAACAATTCTACAATAAGATAATCTTGATAAAGTATAAATATAATGTACTTAAAAGCGTTCTTTATTCAAGCTTACCAAAGGCTTCTCCTGGAGGTATCTCGATCTCACTTGTATACAAATATTTGAAAAATGCTTCATAAACGTTGTATGAGAACATATCGAGCTTCAAGACACTGTTATGAAACACAAAAGAGGGTCAAAAAGTAACCTTATATTCACAGTCCCTTTTTATTGCCATAAAAAGATTATTTTTTGATACTTTCTCGTACATTAAAATATTAAAAAATTAGTTTAAGAATTTGTTAATACTAGTTTTGTCATAAGCGCTTACTTCTCAATATTTTCTTTCCAATTATGTTGAAACATGATTCTGAAATATGAACTGCAAATTTTTAGAACAGCCTTGTGAAGATGAATATCTCGTCCTTCCACTTCTACTTTGTAGTCACTCGTTGACTGTGTCACCCAAGCAAGAAACAAAAAAATCGTTTAAAAAATGCATGTAATGATGAGTTCACTAAAGATTTTTCGGATTTTAATCTTTTATTTTTACTGAAAGATCCAAAGAAACTTTTTAATCAAGTAAGATACGCAGTTAAGATAAGTTATGAAAATTTTGTCATTTTTGTTACATTTCTTTTAAATACACTATTAAATATATTAAAATTACAAAACAAGTTTTGATAATTAAAGTTATGATTATCAACTTCAATATTATTTTTGTAATCTAAAAACAAATTTTTTAATTTATAGCAAAAATATATGTAATAGTAACTTTCCTTTAAATAATTTCATAGAAAACTGATTCAATAAATAAAAATGTTATTAGTCATGTATATATAAATCTATTTATGAGCAGACTGAGTTACACTAATTATACATACAAATAATTAATAAAAGTATTAAATATCATATTTGCTTGTTTTAATTGCACCTGTTATTTAATTTTTCTTTTTCTCAACACTTCGATATAAATCAATTTTCTTTTAAATTTTAAAAATAGAAAAAAATGCATGCAAAAATAATAAATATAAAAAAAAAACATACAGGATCGTTAAAAGCATCTTTCAGGCATCTCACTGTGTTTGAATCTTTTTTCACATATTCAAAGCCATTTTCTGATAAGATCAGTGGTTTGTACATGATATGCTCGCATGCAAATAGATCGTTCAAGTTTGTATGAAAGACAGCCTTCGGTTTTAAAATTATGCGACTGGCGTAGTTACCCCATACATAAAGACATCCATTCTTGTTGATGGCTACACTTATATTTTTTGTGCTTAAAGCCGCAATGTCTGACAACTCTCCCATATCAGATGTATTCAACTATTCACATAAAATGTATGATTCTTCAAATTATGATTTACAATTTTTTATCATAATGATTAGATTGATAAATAACGTACCAAATAAGGCTTATAAATATTTCTATTGTCGCCAGTACCTAATTGTCCAAACCTGTTTTCACCCCACACATAAAGAATTCCTTCATCGGTGAGTGCTAAAGCATGGTTTAATCCACAGGCCACCTTAACTGAAATATCCATTTGTTTAGCAATTATTTCATCAATATTGAATTTCTAACTAAATCAATAACGAAATTCAAGAAGAAACAAATACTTATTGGTGCCGCGAACATAATTCTCTTCACGGGATAAGGCTGCCTTGAAATCGTTACGCCAGTAAAGTCAGTGATTCCAATAGCAAAAATTTTGTTAAATAAATTACCCCAATTGTATACCTTGCCATTATCTGTGACTACTATACTATATGTCGAGCTACAAGCAATGCAAACAATTTTTTCTTTCTCCAATTCAGATACTTGTCGTGGTGTTTGAAAATTATCCTTTTTATAAAGCTTTTCGATGTTCATTCCCCAAGTATATATCTAAATCAAAAAAATGTCCAACTTGTAACTGCAATAATATTGTTATCAGAACAATTACTTACTTTTCCATCGACAGTAAGAGCGAGAGCATGAAATATACCGCATACAATGTTCACAATATTTTTATTGCTTAAACTGATCACAAGAGTGGGTTCGGAAATTATTTCACATTCTTTATGACCTAACGTACACAATTTATTAGTTCCCCAAGAATATACCTTAAAAAAAAAAACATTGTTTATATATTTTAAAATATCATTTCTTTATTACGCGCAAATATTAGGAAATTTGAATATAAAAACACTAACATTTAGACAAAAAAAAACTAATATTGAATATTATTATTATCATTAATATTTTATACTGTTCGTGTCAACGCTCGTGTACAACTAGAGCGTGGTAAGCTGAATAGAAAAGTCCTTTAACGTTTTGCAATTGTCACAATAATAATTAAAAAAGTAATTTAAAAAAATTGACGAATGATCGCGCATTGTGCGCGGCTAAAACGTGGGCTGTACGATCTGGATGGATCAACGGCGTGTCATACAACGAAAATTTACAGCACGTGATGAGAAAAGTAACACGCGAGCAACGAGCGGGCAGAATGTATGAGGCACGATGGGTGAGGTTGGATCTCCGCACCGCTGCTATTTTTACGGATTTGTCTCGAACATAAGCGTTGGCACGAATCTTATGAAACACTGTATTTCAAACATTAAGTATTTCGAAATTACTAATTACTTATATATACATACAACCATATTGGTACATCATTATAATTCAATAATTATTAATTATTACTGTTGCAATATACATTCAATGTATACCTCTCCTTCGTTGGTTACGGCAAATAAACCATGCGTGTTCATCTGGACAAATGTCTTTATACTTTTGTCGCAGAGATTTTCAATTATTTGTAGATTTCTAGAATTATTGACTATGCTCAAAATTTCAGAAGAAGATAAACTACAATGGCCATGGAACTCTGTATATTCCTCTTCGTCAGTACCACAGCTATACACATTTCCGTCCTTTTTTACGATTATAAAGACGTCCATACTTGTGCCATTCTTTGCTGTTTTATATGGACACATAAATTATAATATCAGCAAAATAAAATAACAAAACAAAGAAAAAAAAATTTACCACATCTGATTGCCATAATCATATGACTGTTGAGAAGAAATTCTACTGGTAAATCGTTGAGTCCTGGCCAAAAAATTTTGACTTTTCTGCGATTGTAGTAATGTGTACTAGCTGACACAAATTTTCTCTGTAAATTTCTCATTTCGTCTATCTGCATATTTCTATTAATAATTTAAGGTAAATTTTTTACATTAGTAAAATATTATCATGTTTCTTTAATATTTCATAAATTAAATTATATATCAGCTTCTGTTTCGACTTAATTAACTTTAGTACTTATATAAATATATCGTATCGATAATCGCAGCTATGCTGCAATCCAAACTAGCTATGCTAAAGCTAGTTTGGATTGCACAAAAATAATATAATGCTAAAGCTAGTTTGATAGATTAAGCAATCTATGCCGCTCTGGAATACGCACGAAAGTTTTATTATTTTTATTTTATACGAGGGGTCCCGCCCCCCGCGAGGGGGGCGGAATACCCTGTGTCTACGCAAAGCAAGGTCCATAATTATACTATTTTATATGGGTTTGCAACTTGCAATTAATGATTATCGAAAATATATTTTATACTTCGCGCACAATTCTGTTACATCGCATGCGCGCCTGACCGCAGCGTATGCTCACATCGCTATAATTCGTCAAAG